TTCACGTGCGGTTGCCCCGCAGCGAGGGGTGTGCGACGAAGTCGGGGAAGTCCTGCAGGGCCAGCATGATCTCCTTGAAGGCCTGCGGCTTCGTGCGCTTTTCAAGGGCTATCACAGGCAAGAGGCGTGTTTCTATGCTTTCTCGAGAGTCGCCTGGGGCTTCTTGGTACGGAGCTCATGGAAGGCCATGGCCAGTGGCTTCGTCTTCTCATTGGCAAGCTCCTGCTGGCGACCGGCCACCTCTTTGGCGATGTCTGTGAAGAGGAGCTGGCTGCAGGGCTGCCAAGGGAGGATGGTCAAGGAAACGAGCGCAGACATGAGCACCTGGAGCTTCCAGCCAATGGGCCTGGCGATGAAGACACTGCAGGTCGCCTCCAAGAGGTTGCGGAGGTCTTCCTTCAAATCTTTGCTCAGCTGCCGACGGCTCTTGCAGAGCTCCCCAAACGCCCACATGATATTCGTCATCTCGTAGGACTGGCACTGCTCGAGGGACACTGTTGCCAGCCGAGCTAGGGCCTTGAAAAGAGAATTCCGGAAGACACGGAGGCTGGCGCAGGACCAAGCGATGATGGTGCAGCACTTCACTGGCATCTGCGAATCCCGATGCTCCAGCTCCTGTAGGACCATGCGCTCGGCCGCCACGACGAGGGACACGAAGCTTGGCGCCTGCTCGCTACTCGCGGGCCATGCTGTGCTTAAACCCTGCACCTGGCGAAAACCCCATGCAATCGCCTTTTCCTTGCCCCCTCTCCCAGCCCCGCTGCACCTTTCTGACCTGGTCGGCGGAGTTCTTAAAGCGCTGGCAGGCGCGGGCGATGCGATGGATGGCCGTCGACAGGTTAACGCCGTTCATCTGGTCCACATACTTGGAGGCAACGGCGAGGACCTACATTACATCGAAAGGTGGCTCGGCCAGCATCACTAATTGACTAAGGTATGGCCCAAAGGACTTCAGGCACTTAGCATGCATGGCCTGCAAAGCACAACCCTCGTCTTCGGTGGCAGAGGCGGCGAGCAACTCCTGATTGATGCCCTTCTGGACCGCGAATTCTGCTGGAGCCTGCTTCCGATGTGC